CACAGGAGATGCTGTCAGAGAGCTCAAGGCCAAGGAAAAAGGGCAACAGCCCCATTGGGGCAGGGAGAAACTGCTGCAATATAAGTCATTTGCAAAAGGAGATTTCATTTCACACCTGAACTCACAACAGATATAAAACCAGGTTATTGTGTCTGGGACTGGCATTTTAGGTACCACTTAGGTCAAGAAAAGTTTCCTGATCCTGTTCATTTACTGTTGCTTCCTAAACATAAAATCCTTCTTCTTATCCCATGGCCTCTACTTTTTCTCTTAATAACAAAGCTCTTCTCCTGCAGTCAAGATATATAAAGTGATAGATTTTGAGTTATGTAATTACAGCAGCTCATTTAGATCAAACTGATTGCATCAGTTAATCACTTAACTGCTGGCAACAATAACAAAATTCAGTTCTAAACAGAAAATTGAGTCAAATAAATTAAAGAACAAATCACCCTGATGGAATAACAACCTGCTCATAAGGCATTTTATGAGAAAACTTCATCTAAATAAATCAAATAAATTCAGTAGTTATCCACTCAATACAGCTTTTATCCAAGTGGATGATATTTTACATTGAGTTTTAGAGAGAAACAATAAACTGCTACATTAAAAATCAAGACAGTATTATATCAGCTCCTCTGAGTTCATGAAAGCCATTTTCAATCCAGGTGTTAAGTAGGTTAACTTATATTGCCATATAAGAAGAAATCAAGTTTATCTGGCTGGATTTAATTTCCATTCCATTTAGGGAGACTTCCCATTAAATCAGAAAAGAATTTAAGCTATTTATGAGCTCAAATTTAAATGAAAAAATCTCCAAGCCTCAAAACAGTGGTTTGACTTATTCAGGCTGCAAATGCCCACATTCAAATACCTCATCTGCCTAATTTGAACTATCAGTTTTAAACCAGGTAACTCTCTCCAGCTGGGTGTTATGACCACCAGTATGGAGTTCTTTGGAAAGTGTCTACATTTGCTCTGCTGGAGCAGATCCATTCTGTGTAGTTGATTCACTGACTCAGATTTGACTATTTCCTGTGTCTAAGGCAAGTGCTCAGACTATTTTGTCCCATTCTTTGTCCCAGTATTTCATTTCCAATGTGAGACACCATCACGCATCAAGAGACAGCCTGTTTGCAGCATCAGCTCCACTGTCCACTTGGAGCTGGATACAAACTACAACCATCCAAAGATACTGATTTCAAACTGGGGACCCTCCAGTCTCCATTCTCATGGAGAGCCTTATGTTTGCAACATTTATTCAACAGCTAATCATTATCTCTTTTTGAGGTAAATGTGCAGGATGGATGGTAACATGGTCAGAGTAGTTATTAACACAATTATTAAAAAATTTCTTTTAGGTGAACAAATCACTAACGGCTCATCACCTAAACAAAAATTTTAAAGACTACAAAAATAAGAAAAAATCCTGCTACATTAACAATTACCCTGTTAAACTTCAGAAACACCTCAAAGTAAATCAACCCAGATTATGTAGATACACACACATGCAAAACCAGTCCTGCATTCCAGGAAAACATGTTAGAAGACTTCTAAGTTTTTCAAGCAAAGCCAGGAGTTAACTTCTCCTTAGCTCCACAGGCTTTTGTAGAATCATACTAGTTACATTCCTCAGCAATGCAGATGGGCTCATTCAGAGCAGCCAATATTTAGGTTATGTTGGTGATATTTTGGGTTATCAGCCAGTGAACGATGAAGAGAATGAGTGACACAAATAGGGGAGGACAGGTAGACCCAAAATACTGATGTGAAATGGGTCAGCACAGGAAAGGCAGTAACTCTTTCTTCAAGAACCATCAGATGAATAAAGTATAACAGAGTTATCTCTGATTGAATACCTACTTAATGCTACATCTCTTCCCCTCAGATCTTCGTCTTGCTATGCATGAAATAAATTATGAGGTCACTGTGATGACACTGATGAAACAAGAGCATCTGTGTGATGTGAACAGAACATCCTTGCACTTAAATCAAAAAGAAACTGTTCAAAGAGAGAAAACAGCTTTAGGGGAATGGAGTTTGAGACAACAGAAGTGACTTCCCTATTATCTTCAAAAGAACATTGCTGTGGGAGTGGGCTATAGCAATAGTATGTAATACCCAAATGATTCAGGATGGTTAAGAGGGAAGTGAAGATTGACATATTTGACCACTGAGTTCTTCAGATGCAAGAGTAAAAAAAACAAATTCAGGTAATGGTACTCAAGTGTATTGTAATATGACAGGATGGTTCTTTTTTTATGAAATAAAGACAAGCCAGCAGACTCAGTCACTAGATAATGAAGTACCACATTAACAAAAGCCGCTACAGAAGTAAACAAAAAATAGTTGTGTGAGTAAACAACTTAATTAAGGCAGTTTTAAATGTAGATCTAATACTGCAACCTTTCCCAGACAGCCATGAGTCTGACCTGGCAAAGACAATAAAAACACAGCATACCGATGTGGTAATTGAGGCTCCACACCACCTTATGAGTTCTGCCTGTGCCCCCACACTTAAGATTTTTATTTTTGGTAGGAGGCATCAGCTCCATTTTAGATAACAGACATACAGTCTTGTCTCATAAGCTAGTTCTTTCTAACATGGATGTGAGGTTTGTGTCAGGACTTTCTGACACCTCTAGCACATCAAATCAATGGTGCTCTTCATTTTTGCATTCTGGCTCTAGGAGGAAAGCAGAGTTTGTAATATTATCAGGACCCATCAGAAACAGAGGTAACATTGTTTCTAAGTGATTTCCTCTCTAATTTACTAGAGGAAGTATCTAGGGGAGAGCTCCTGTCACCAGTTTTCAGCAGCTGTAGGACAATACCAGCACAAGAATGAGTAACTAAAAATACACAGGATGAGGGCACAAACTGAAATGCAGAAAGTTTCATTTGAATATGAGGAAAAGCTTCCTTGTGTGGAGTGGGACAGAGCTGCCCAGAGAAGTTTTGGAGACTCCTCTGGTGATACTCAAAAGCCACTTGGATGTGTTCCTGTGTACCATGCTGGGGGAGAACCTGCTTTAGCAGGGGACTTGGACTTCATGGTTTTCAGAGGTCCCTTCCAACGTCTGCCAACCTGTGATCCTTACCACAGCTTCAGTAGACCTGGAAGCAGGAAGGTTTAAAGCCACCTGAGGAATGGATTTCTAGTCCCATCTCCCAACAGGAAAAACAGGAGAAAGCATCAACACTTAAACCAAAGGCAGTTGATATTGCATTCTCCAGGAGTGGGGACCCAGAACCAACAAGTCAGACCTTTGCTATCTTTCATTAACCTCTCTTACAATCACAAGACAATGCTCTGCTTCCACATATTCCAGGATCCACAGTCCTTCAGGGATAGTTGTTAAGATCTAGGAAATACTGGCAGGGAAGCAGGGGAGTGCTTTTGCTTCAGAGCTCTCCCATCTCCCAGTGCAAACCTTCCTCATTCCCTGCTGCACAGACACTTGAACATGCCTGAATCCTCTGGTTCAGGAGAGAGAGGCCTCTGCAAGGATCTGTCCAGGGAAATCTGATCACTGAATTAGCCTTTAAAAGGGATGAAATCAGGAATCACTTGTACAGTAGGGCAGTGCACCAGAGCAGCTAAACAGAGCAGATTCCTCACTGGTGCCCTTCTCAAGCTGCCACAGTGGTCTGGGGGGAATGGGGTGACCAAGCAATGCCCTGCACTGCTCATGATGTCTGCCAAAAGAGCTGGGTTCTTCTCCTGAAAACCTTCTTGTTTTGTACAAACCAGTGACCTCCTGATGCCATGCCTGGGGAGGGAGGCTGCGCAGCAAGTTAGCTGTGGAGCCTGCTCATTTTCTCTGGCATAAACCCAGATGTTTTCATAAAAAATTGCATCGAGAAACAGATTGCTTTGGTTTAACTTCTTTGGCTTATTACACATCCCAGGCTAAAACAGTGATGATTAAACAGTATTCCCAAGCACCGCTTTAATTAAGCAGCATCACTGTTATTTATGCTACACAGGAGCTCCTGATAATGTTCAACCTTTATTTTAATTCCTTTAATTCAAAGTTGTGCTGAAAATGGCACTTTCCTCTACTTTGGTCACCACTTTAATGACTCAGCAGATACTCATTTTCAAAAATGCTAAGAAAAGGGCTAAAGTAATGTTTATTGGAAGCATTTCAGCTAAAGTAATGTTTATTAGAAGCAAATTCCCAAACATTTAGAGAAGCTTCATAGAGACCCCATTGTAAGGGCCTTTCATGGCAATTATTGCATTCAAAAGACAATAGCCAAAAGGTACTTTAAATGGACATGTGACCTGATCTGGCAGTAGAGGTTCTTAAAGCTCAGAAAAGTCAATAAAACCATTTAGGGTCTTTGCCTTTTGTCATCACTGAGGAGGCTCTCCAAAAGCAAACCAGAAATTATTACATACTTCAGGAATATAAGGCATCACTTTAATTTGTCCAAGTCCAATATCAGGAATAAAACCAGGATGTTGGTACATGGGAAAAGTGAACTTATCAAAACAAGAATCCAGGTAAAACCTAGAGGAAGCTGCCCATTTCCCCCTAGTACCTCCTCAGAGAGCCCAAACCTCCCCATCACCTGGACCTGGGTTATTACTAAGGATCCTCCAGGCCATCTCCCTGTCACAACGCCCCAGCCGGCTACAGGGACACAACAGAATCCTTTAGCTGCACAGACTCATTGCTGCCAAGTATTTTTAGCTGCACAACCCACCCAGCTCCTCCCATCTGGTAAATGATGACCTCTCAGGCATGGCACACACATCAACCTAAAGGCAGAAAGCCACTATGATTGGCCCTTTGAGTAAGTCTCAGAAGCATCATCTGATCAGGTCTGACTCTATTTCCCTCACTTCACAGGCATTTCACTAGGTAATAGTTTACCTGCCACTTCACAAAATGACAAGTTTTATCTGCTATTTATAACAGTGTCACATAATAGAAAAAGAATCAAGATTGAAAAATAGTAGCTTTAAAGGAAGTACTAACAATTCTCACCCCTGGAAAAGCTGCGTGGAGCTTTTTAGCCATAATTGCACCAGGAAAAAAATACCACCTCTCCTGGCTTACTTGGTGTTTGTTCCCAGGGGGATCATGTTTTCCTGAAGCCTCAGAACACTGTCCTCTAGGGCTTGAGATTGTTGGATTGTTTCCTTAAGGCAAGCCAGGTGGTAGCTGTCTGTCTACAGAGAGAGGGGAGAAAAGTCAACAGCATCAATTATTGTACACCTCTTGCAAGGCCATACCAGCTTTTGACAGCTGAAGGGCAGCCTGAGATCCTCCACTCTTTTGACATCCCTTTACCTGACAAAAATCCTCAGTTGGGGACAAGGGAAAAGCAAACAGCTAGAGATGTTGCATCACAGATATTTCAAATTAAATATGGCTCGACACACTTACCAGTGGGAGAGTTAGATGGCACGGAGCAGTCTACCTTGACAAAGACTAAGATTTTACTTCCTTTTGAGGAAGTCATTAGCATAGTCTACACAAACTGCAATGTAGTTCCTTTCAGTGTTTCTCAAAATGTGGTTTACACTTCCCTGCTAATAATTTATGGTAATTAGGAAACTAATTAGAAAAAAGTTTTTTAAAAGTTATTTTTGTTACTATTTATTTATTTCAGAATTTTATTTTATATTGGTAATACATTACCTGATTCTGTCAGGCTACTGAGTTCAGGGCATGCAGATTAAATTTCAAGTATCATGCTGCTGATATTGCAGAGACTGAATCTTGTGAGGTATGACCAGAATGAAAGCAAAATACATCTATTACAAGCACAGCATGAAAATGGCCTTTATGAACTGGCTTTTAAAACGTTTTTTAAAACTGTGATTTGCCATATCTGACAACAAAAGTTTAAACAGTAGTCTCATGGCCAGCAAGAGATATGTGTTTGCATCCCCATTGCTCCAGAAAGAAACATCGCTGTCTCCTCAAAATACAAACTTAGAATCCAAAATTTTCATAAAACATGCCAGAGATTATGTAGCAGAAAGGAAGGCCAGAGTAGACCAGGGATCATCCCAGTACAAGAGATGAAAGTCCTCAGTTGTGTACAGTTGTTTTCATGCAATGAACCAGCTATCAGGAAATTCAGACTGTGCATTGAGAGCAGGGACACAGGATGGAGAACAGAAGATGAAAAAATATGCCCGTGGTTTGATGGAATGATGGACAACACCACCTCTTCTCCATGCTGACTTACAACACCACAAGAGTCCATGGAAATTATCAATTACTACAATGCCCTTTTTTCTCCAGAAAGGGCATAGAGGCATGACAGAACAAACAGACTAAAAGAAATTACAGAGCCTAGTCCCTGCAGGGCAGTCAAAGTCATGAAATTTGGTGCAGGTTAAAGCCTATTTAGATAAGAAAGCTGGAACTTCAATAGCCACAAAATCTAAGAGGCTTAATGTATTCTCTTTAAGCAAAAATTTCATCCCATTCCAGATTTCTTAGAAGACAAAAATCAGCACTGTGCATATGAAGTCAGAGGTGATAGAATTCAGAACATTCAATGTCTCTAAGTGAGAAACATACAAAGAAAGCCTGCCAGATAAAGAGTAAAATTATAAAAACCTTGACTATTTCTTTAGAAATAGTGTTTGATAGAGTGAACTAGAATATATAAGAAAAACAGGTAAAATAAAACAAGATAGAAGAGGCATAAATAGTCTTTTCTTATCAGAGGAAAGCAACTATTTTTTCTAAAACATTTCCCTTACTTTAGGTCTCATCCATCATCTGCCTGACATAGCAATAAAATATATTTAAATTGTGAAATTCTACCAATTCTAAGATAAATTAGAATATAATGAAGAAAGAACTAGATGACACCTAAGAACTGAAATTTTGAGGTGTGACATTCAGGCACACAACAGAAGGAACAATTTATGCACTTCCTGTAAAAGGACCTCACCAAAGACATGCCAGATGGATTTGAGTATTTCATCAGTGCTCTCTTGCCCAGACAGTTGGATAGGAAAGGACCAGCTCCTTTCAAGTGCACCAGCTGGGGAAGCCAGATAAAGTGATTCTTTGTAAATGCATTGTAATCTTTGCAAATCTCCAAAGATGGAGATAGCCTGTGATCTTCTAGCAGAAAAAAAAAAGAAAAAAACAAAAAAGCTGTTGCCATGATCCCCACACTGACAGACTCATAATCTGAAGCTGCATTTTAGCCACCTACACTTGACAGAACAGACTTGTTTTGCACCCTTCTTTACCACATGAAAATTGCCTAGAGAATGATGACCTTTAAGTCCACAATTTATCACGATTTCTTCCTATTAAATAATCTGATATTGTAGCAGTTCTGTGATTTCCAAATCAATAGGTTTTAACTGCCATTGCTGCAACCAGCTGTCCAGTTTCTTTGCCCATTCTTGGCAGAGCTGGATACATGCAGTCTTTTTAAATTCTTAATGAATGACTCTGAAAAAGTTATTTTCACCTTGACAGTTTGTCTCTGCACAGAATACAGACATGACAAACTGAACAGCCTTGGAAAAATTATGTTATGAGTATGCTCAGAAAGGCATCAAAGATGGCTCTTGAAAATCTTAATTTTTCCCTTTTGTAGATTTAGTTTTCACACAGAGGGAAAAATTTGTGCTCCTTTGGGAAAATCTGTGATATTATCAAGTATGTATATATATATATATATAGCCTTTCTGTCTACTTTTATATGAAGAGGGATTATTTTTTTTTCTTTTTCCAGTTTTGCCTCAAATTAAAATTATTTTCCCATAGTACAGAAATTATCTTGGACATAACCAAGAAAGATAAAGAAAACACTGCAAAACAATCAGTTATTATTCCTTTTTTTATTATTATTGATTACTCTCCTTACTATACAGTAATTTAGATTAAAAGCAGCAGTTAGGCCAAGGGGCAGGCCATGAAAAATATTCTTAAACAAAGGATACTGGCAGTTTTTAGCACAACTTACATTCAGCAATGTCTCATGCATCTCAGAACCAGTTGTGCCAATGAAATGTGCACACCACAAGGTAAAGAGTTGTGGGAACTCAAAATGTCTTTCAGACATTTTTAGAGGTTCCAGGCCTTGGTCAGAAGCATTCTAGACCCTGGCAGACAGCTGTGATTTTGAGTTTGAGCCATGGAATGAATTACCAACTTTGGAGGTGGAACAAGCAGTCACAAAAGGTTAGATAGTATAGTAAAAGTAATTACAAAGTAGAGGGGAAATTTTTTTAGTATTGTACAGGGGGGTTTTAGCACATGTACAGGGGGGTTTTCACTTTGTACATGGGGGTCAGAAGTTCTAAGATGGAGGAAAGTGGGCTGATCCTGTTCTTCCTCCTTCTTCTTCCTTACCTCCATGTTCTTGGTGATGTTGGCACTCACAGATTGGTTTAGAGTAGAAAAACACTTGGCAACGTAGGTAGTAGGTATTGGGGAATAATTGTAAACATGTTATATGTAATATATCTTATAAAAGATAGCAGCAGCCCTGGGCGGGGAGAGACTAAGAAGACAGCAGATAGAGAGGATGTCAGGGTGTGTGTGTGCCTCTACCCAGGCCACTGATCAAATAGCTGCAGTCCAAGAACATAATCTGTTAGATAACTAGCAATAAACTGCCTTGAGACTGAACAGCTAAAGCCTGCGGAGTTTTTCTTTGGAAGCATGGGTTGGAGGAGGAATTTCACCACCATATGAGACCCCAGAGCAAGGCTGGGGTTCTCACAAAGAGTTCTGAGGTAACTCCCTAAATACAGCACCTAACATTTCCAAGACAGTTTGTTGCTTTCTGTGGTGTACAAACAATGATCCCCTTGGCCATTTGTAAATCTTAACAGCAGTTCAGACTTTTTTAATAATCATTTTGGAGTCTAAGGAGGAAGTAAATACAATTAATAACATACCTGGCCATCACAAGCTTTCTCAGCTCTGACAACAAGTGGTTCTAAGAAGACAACTCCCAACTATTCTGCAGAAGCTGCCAAAGGGAGAAGCAAAAACTTTTGTATAGAGATGTGTCAACTAATTTCCCTCTGAATCCTTGTCACTTACTGCATAAAACCAGCGTGTCATATTCCTGAAAAGGTATAGACCCAGCAGCTCCGAGTGTTAGAAATTAGTGACCTTCTTCATTTGTTTGTTCCCACAGGTGCACAAAGGTATTTTTGAAGCTCAGATGAGATACTGAAAAGAAGTGTGAGGTAGCATGGTACACCCAGGGCCTGGGAAATCTTGCTCAGCCCTGATTTGTTTCCAGCAGAGTTTCTCACTTGCCAAGACCAAAATCTGACCTCCTCTTCACCTGACTGCAGGCCTTAAGATCTCAACCAGCTTGTGGGAATAATAAACATTCAGTAAGCACATGATTAAAGGCATTTTCCTGCCTTAGTTCTAGGTGTCAGTACTTCATCATGCATCCCTCCTACATAGAATTGTTACAGGTTTAAATTCTTTTCACAGTTGCTGTGTCTTGAAAACTTACTCAAATTTATTTCCCCCTCAGATTTCAGACCAAAACCAAAGTTCAAAGAAAATCATTTAACCATAAAAGTAAAAGAAATCTCAAATGCAAAACTTAAAAGTCAGTTTATCTAAAGATTTCAAAGGTTCTGTTACTTTAATTAAATTCCAGGAAAATTAAAGGAAAATTAAACTCAATTTTGTTGGATGACATATAAGAGTGAAATCAAAAATTAAGAAAACAGAGAATTTCACCCAGAGAAAATGGATTACCTTAATTTGGAGGATGATGAGTTCTTTTCCTTGCTTTAGGAGCAAGTTAGTCATCTGGTCCATGGCAGTTCATCTCCAGCCATCTCTAAATCTTCATGTCACCAGAGGGAACAAAGGAAGCTGCTGGCACACATTTCTCTGGCATCACACAGCCTTGAAGCACCCAACACATCACCATGGCATCTGCCTGCCTGCACTATGCCAGATTTCAGGAGAAAGAGGCTGAGCAAGTAAAGTGAATAATGCAAACAGGTGAATGGTAAAAACTCAGTAGCAAAAGCTAGCAC